AGAAAAAGCTGCAAGAGAACATTGCTACCTCCCTCACAATGATCTTAGGAATACACAAAATTACCATTTTTGAGCCCATTAGACAACTGAAGTCCCAGGAAACCAGGTGCACCAAATTACAAAATGTGACAAGCCCTTCTAGAAACACAAAATATTTCACCTTTGGTAGAACACGGGAGAATGGGGTGGAAGCCATAAAAGGAGTAAGGAGAAAGAAACTTTAAAAGTTGATTGTGGGGCCGGCCCGGTGGCGCACTGCTACAGTGCGCCACTTTGGAGTGGGTTGGCTCTCCCGCCGAGGGTTCGTATCCCACATACAGACCGCCGCTCACTGGCTGAGTGAGGTGCGGGCGCAACACCAAGGGTTGCGATCCGTTGCCAGTCACGAAAAAAGTCAAAAAGGAAAAAAAAAAAAGTTGATTGTGGGTTGTCTTGGCAGTTCAAGGTTTCAGACATGAGGAGATTCTGCACTCACTCTCCAGCTGTTGTTTCAATACATGAACATACCGTCCAATGGTTCACTTAGGATGGATACCACAGTTCTGAGCAGGTTAATCCATCACTTCCCCTCCACCTGCCCCCTCTCACCTCCAGGCCTCTGGTAACCACTATTACACTCTCTGCTTTTGTGAGAACCACGTTTTTGTTTGTTTGTTTGTTTTTAGATTCCACATATAGGTGACATCATGTGGTGTTTGGTTTTTCTGTGTCTGGCTTACTTCACCTAACATGATGGTTACCAGTTCCAGCCATGTTGCTACAAATGACAGGATTTCATTTTTTTTAACAGACAAATATTACTCTACTGTGCATATATGCCTCAGGGTTTTTTTAATCCATTCATCTTTTGATAGGCATTTAGGGTGATTCCATCTCTCGGCTATTGCAAATAGTGTTGAAATGAACACGGGAGTGCAGGTATCTCTTCGATGTGTTGATTTCATTTCCCTTGTGTACATACCTAGTAGGGTCATTGCTGTGTCATAAAGTTGTTCAGTTTTTAGTTCTCTGAGGAACCTGCTCTGTTTCCCACAATGGCCGTGTCAAACTGCTTTCCCACCAACAATGTAGGAGAGTTCCCTTTTCTCTGCACCCTCACAAGCACAGAGAAATACCCGCACGTCCTCATTCATAAGTGGGAGGTAAAAAATAGAAGGGAGGGAGGGAGGGAGTGAGGGAAGGAAAGAAGGAAGGAAGGATGGAAGGAAGGAAGGAAGGGAGGA